ATATATTTTTTTTTTTTGAGACAGGGTCTTGCTATCCAGGTTGGAGTGCAGTGGTGTGATCTCAGCTCACTGCAACCTCTACTTCCTGAGTTTAAGGTTCAAGTGATTCTTCTGTCTCAGCCTCCCGAGTAGCTGGGATTACGGGTGTGCACACTACATTCAGCTAATTTTTATAATTTTAGTAGTGATGGTGTCTCACCATGTTAGCTAGGCAGGTCTCAAACTCCAGACTTGAAGTGATCTGCCACCTCAGCCTCCCACTGCGCCTGGCTTATATATACATTTTTAATGGATAATCAATAGACCTCAAAGCATGTATTGCATAGTTTATTCTTTACACCCAGTAGAAATATTATGTCAATCACAAACTAATTTTTAATATATATTGTATCTGTTTCTTTGTATCTTAATTACTTATATATTTATGTGTTGATGTTTTTATTTGTTGTTTTATTAGACGAGAAATGACATATTTATCAGATCTAAGGAGATAGAAATTTTTGTCTTTATATATGTCAGCAAAGTCTAATTTTCTTCATATAGGTTGTGTTCATGTATTAATTTTTAGGTATTATGTGTTTTATTATCATTAATGGTTTCTATTTTTCTACTGTATGTTCTAATTGATGCTTGCTAAGGAATAGGAATTCTTTTGATTTTCGTTTGTTGATCTTTTACTGCATTATCTTTTTGACGCTTGTTTTAATTCTAATAATTTGTCACTGATGTTTTTGAGTTATCTACAAATGTTTTGGGCTTTTTCTTCCATTTCAATGTTTACATTGCATTATTTTTCTTGTCTTATTACGTTAGCAATTAACCTCTATTGTAACTTGAATAGTAGTGACAGCATTGGGCATCCTTATCTTGCTCCTGACTTTAATGGGAATTTTTCTAAAATTTTACAATTAAGTACGATGTTTAAGTATATTTCTGGTAGATGCCCTTTACAAAGTTACAAAAGTTTTCTTCCCTTTATAATTTGCTAAGAGTTTTTATAATGAATGAAAATGAAATATAAAATTTTTGGTGTATCTATTGAGATAGTCATATGTATTTTCTCCTTTGTTAATGTAGTAGATTCCATTAATGAGATTTAAAAATTAAATCTTAAAAGTAACATATGAGTATATTTACCTTATAAAATGAGATAATTACAGGGAGTGGGGAGATTGAGGAGATGTTGGTCAAAGGACACAAAATTTCAGTTAGGAAGAATAAGTTCAAATAATCTAATGTACATCATGGTGACTATAGTTAATGTCAATATATTGTATATTTGAAAATTGCTAAGAGTAGATTTTAAGTGTTCTCACCACACAAAAAAAGATAAGTATGTGAGGTAATGCATATGTAAAATAATTTGATTTAGCCATTCTGCAATGTATATCTATACCAAAACATATTGTACACCACATACAGTTTTACCTGTCAATTAAAAATAAGGTGAAAAATCTGAAAAAAAGTACAAAAACAATGTACTTATAAAAAATGAGAATTACAAATAATGTGTGTTGTCTTTGACTAACACCCCTAATTCTAGTGTGCACCCCCTAATCCCAGTAACCATTACTGTAACGTTGAATAACCATATTTAACAGAACATATTTGCTGTTGTTTTTGTATGTGTATTTTGAAATAGTACCAAATGCAAATTTCTTTTTCATTCATAATGTATTTTGGTAACTATTTTTATTGGATCATCTAGCTGCTTTTACTCCTTTACAAATCCTCTACATCTTTCCAATATATGCATTACATTCCATTTATTATTAATAATTTTATTTATTCCTTCTCCAACTGAAGTACATTTAGATTATTTGCAGATGTTTTCTTGTTCATATGTGTGTGGGTGCTTTTCTATGGTGCATAACTTATATTCCCAGGTTTTTAGAAAGTTTAAAAACATTTTAAAAAATTATGAGTCATATTGAATATAAGTGTGCACTTATAATATTCTTAGTTTTCTATGTAACTTAAAAATACTCTCAAGATCCCAAGTGTTCAATGTGACTGCATGCTGTATTTAGCCTTGACTAAGGTGAACACATGATTTTTCTTTTAACCTGTCATGGTGAATTTGAGTAATTTTCTAATCTTGAAGTATCTTTGTATTCATGTAACACTAACTAATCATAGCAGTTACCTAAAAGATATGCTGCTGGATTTAATTTACTGGCATTTTATAAAAGAATTTCCCATCTATGTTCCTAACTATAACTGAACCATAGTTTTTCTTTCCTATACTCTCCCGGTTCAGAATTTGTAAAACGGTTTGGGACTTTTATAAAATGCATTGGATATCTTTCCATCTTTTCTAAGATCAGTAGAATTTTTCCCTTGAGTTGTTTTTCAGATTAATATTTAATTACATTATCTAAGTTCTCCATACCTTCTCTTGTATTTTAAATTTGAGTTGCATACTTCTGAGCTAGTTGTCTTCTATTCTGATAACAAATTGTCAAATTTGTAAAATTTCTCATCGTTCATAGCATTAGCTTAGGATAGGCCATGTTTTTAGATTCATAACAGTTCAGGAGACCATATTGTCTTCATGGACTTTATCCTTTAATATGAAATCCTTTCTCTTTTGATACTTTTAATTATATTAATATTGCTATATTGCTTTCATTTGGCTACCATTCGATTAAATATTTTAGCCCAGTATTTTCAAGCTTCCTGTGTTAAGAGTTTGCTTACGTCCAATTTATACTGGATTTTCCTTTTAATCCCAATTGTCTTTTTAAACTTGTGAGTGAAATTAACCCATTTATATTTATTGTAAATACTGATGTTTGGACTTACTTTTCACATTAAAAACATTTTTACCATATGTTCCAGTTTCTTTTGCTTATCTCATTCCCATTCTGCCTTCCGTTCA